GTCTTTTGTTTTGTTGTTTCTTTTGGGCAAAGAGTGGTAAACAGGTTTTCTTAAAACCTAGATATTATAACTTTAATACCTGGGAAAACTTTCATTAAAGTGTTGAGGTTTTAAATCTGATTATTTTTCAACTTTTAAAACAGGAAGTTGATCATTTATTACTTTTTGCAGGACCGATTGGGTGTTTAATACGATAAAAACACCACGGTGTACGAGCGATATTGTGGATGACCAGAATACTGTAAGAGTGAAGAGTGAAATTACAAGACCATCCATATCATCATCTTATTTATCGAAAAGTCAAGAAATAAGTCCGAACTCTACAATCATTAACAGAAATAATGATTCTGTAAGTTATTTCATCTGGATTTCGAATTTTTTGCCTCAACTTTAAATTTCGTTTCTTTCTCTCTAAATTTTATTTATGATTTTTATCGAGAATATTATACTTTTATATAAGAATTACTAGAGTTCCTATTTAATCCATTTGTTTCTTTAGTTTTCTCCGCTGTACCCCAGTGGACATGACTTTTCAAAAGAGACTAATGATATTAATCATCAAACCATTTCATTTATCTTTCTCTAAGTGATATTTTTGTCATTTCTTGCACCACTCTTAAAGTTTGCTCACTTTTTTTTTGTATCTTATACAGTAACGATTTTCTGTAGAGTGTGGCGCAAATAGCCCACGAACTTCGCCAAACATCATTGCGTCCTACAAGTTCCTCTACCTGCATCAACCATTCATCGCCTATTTATGCTAATACGGGTCCCTTCGCAAATGATGTCAAAGTGGCACATAATGGGAACGCGACAACGATAGCTGTTTCATCGCCAGCAAGTTCACCTGTTGGTTTTATATTAATTTCCTGAACTTTTCAAACTGACTAAGAAAGTCTCACTAGTTTCAATTACATATTTTTGAAGTAATTTGAACTTCAGACCTCATCATTAACTCGCCATTCGTTTGCAATTAGCGATGCACCTTCTAATATGCAAGGAGTTGCACAGCGCAGTCATAATACATCCTCACAAATTACTACCAGCAATGCACCAACAAACACAAACATTCGTGCGTGTCGAACATCATCACTCCATCAAAACAATCATATCTCAGCTCAAACGAATGAACCAATCTATGAACAACCAAGGAAAAAGGTTCTTTTTTATGTTTCAACATTTCGTTTCGGGATCTGCGGTTTACTTATTAGGTGTTAGTGTAAAATTATGCCGTTCTTGAAATAGTGTGGTTTACAGGATATAAATCTATTTTAATCGACTGAATAAAACTCAAATTCAGAGAAAAATTTGTAATTGTCATTTAAATAAGACTAAAACATCATTGTCAATCGCAGTGGAAAACTGTAAATTTTTTGAAGGGTGTCTTGGAACACACATTACTGCCAGCTTTGGATCGACTGGCACGTACTCGTCATTCGGGTACTGATTTGGATGCTGTAGCTGCGGCTTTTAAAGAAGCAGAAAAGAATTGTCCGGGTATATGTGATGAATTTCTGGTTGAATTGCTAACTGCTATTGCTTACCCTCAAGCGAATGAATCTGAACTGCAGGCAGCTGTTGATCGTCTCAATGCGTAAGTGTCCTCATTTTAGATTTAATTCTTCCTATGGAGCTGGAAATTGTCTTAAAATTCTTAAATGTTTTCAAACGTTATGAAAGACCGAGCGGCATGAGATAGTGAGTAAGTGGAGTCCAGTATATCACCGTGAAAATAAGAAGCCTTATTAAAAAGGGTAAATTAGAACTTTTAAACCCAGGACTTTTTCTTAATGAAATCATAAAAGTACTTCTAAGGATAAAGATTAATTTCGAAATAACTTAGTAGATGACGATTAAGATACCTCATCTCTCGACTAATTCAGCTCCTCTCATTCTTTCTGACCTCCGTGTTCTGGTCCGAACATGTTGAGATGTGAAAGTCAGTAGCTTATGTTGAATATACTATTAATTTTCAGTGGAAGATATTACATAGATCCCTGTATAAGTTATCTAATTTTAGGCGGTCGTTGTGAAGATTTTTCATTGGTTAATTGCAGTGTTAATTGCTGGCCTTACTAAATGAACCGTAAACATGCAATTATGGTGATTTTCAAGTAGTGTTAATTTAGGCTGCATCTCTGTTTTTCATATAGTTTTTTATTCATGATGACTAGATTCGTTATTGTAATGAATAGATTTAATAGTAGATTCTTTATGGTAATTTGTATACTTTGGAGTTAGGCTTTGGGGTTGAGAGAATATTACCATTCAGGCTTCCTAAATATAAAACACTAATACTGATTTCTTTCATTAGTCTAAAAAAAAATTTTGCATAGTTAATAGAAAGGATGGATGTGGGAGAGCTAAAAGGAGGGTCTGGAGGATTGATGATTTCATGCATAACAGCCACGAAAAATTACTTATGGCCGTGCAGTTTTTTCGTCTTATAATTTTTGATTCCAACTATGCTAACACACTGTGTCTAAGTATGCTATTAAATTCTTGTTACCTTTTAAAATTTATTTGGATTGGAGGAAAGGACAACTGTGGTTATCTTTATTCACTTAATCATTAGTATCTTTGACAACGAGATATTGTTCAATATTCTGTCTTGTGTTTTTCGAAAATTGGTGCTAATTTAATATAACATTTTCATTTAGCTGGATCTGTTATCGTGCTCATGTTTCTCTCTCTGACTACCTGTTATTTTTTCTCTGTTCGTTATTGGGATGTTTTAGAATACAAAAACACCATAAAACAAAGGGCATGGAACTTATGGGTAGAGAGCTTTGATTGTTGTCTTAATTCTTCCGTTCATTTCGTATGCGTGAAGCTCAACTCTCCTTCGAGACTCCTGGAAAAATTTCTAGAGTGAAGTCTTTTCAGCTGCTTTCACTTATTATTGTCTTCTAAACTGCTTGCTCCGTTATATTTATGTGAGTTTTGTCTCTCATGTGACATTTATTTGTTTGCATTTTAATTGTATCATTTTACTGAAAACGAATTTTATTTCTCATCTCGAAGATTTTGATGAGAATTGCTGTCGTGCAAATTCAAAAAACCGGGAACAGCTACATTGGCAACAAATGCAAACTGAAAAGTTTTGCCGATCAAGTTCTGTGATCAGGTCAAAAATTTTCTTCTGAAGCTTTCAAATTCATTTCCTTAATTATGAAAAGCTGTGTTAATTGATGAGTAGTTGGAGTAATTAGAGCATTTGTAGTGTTGATAGTGATGTGATTCAGGTCTGTGAATACTATTCGACTTTAATTTAGAAAGACACTTATTTTTCAATTTTCCGAATGAAATTGGCAGGCTAATTTTTTTTTTTTTGCTTGACATGTTTATTTTTTAAGCGACTTCAAAATCTAATGAGCACATAAAAGGTTTTCCAGGTAAAATTTTTTCTATCTATAAACATCGTGTTGTTCCATATCTCTATTTGTTTAATTAACTTGTCTGTTATGCATTTGCTTAATTATCCAGAATGTTTATTTATATTATTGGAGTAGTCTTCTTCCACTGTTGAATTCAAATTCAAATTAAAATGTAAAAATAAGTCTGAAATTCGAAGCTAATAAGTTTACAAATTGTATCTCAAACAGGAGCTTCCTGCTGGATTATTTTCTGTAACATATCGGCTACTCTAAGACTTTTGATACATCACTAAATATATTTGTTTTGAGTTCTGTAAGGCATCGGGATTTTCACTTCGCTATTTGAATCTTGAATTAGCGCTGGATATGGAATAAATTTGATTTAACGCTTCAATTGTTGTTTCACTGTTTAAATCAAGTAATAAATAGCCAGGTTTCCAGTATGAATTCCAGAAATGGGCAAGATTAAATAAATATATTTGGTTTAGCGTGAAAAACGTTTCTAATATCCAGCTGGGCGTGAAATGCCATTCATCACACTTCATTTTCTGTCCAAGGCCATTATTCATTTACTACCTTCATCAAGCAGTTCATGTTATCTTAGTTCACCTTTTTCACAACTCAGAAATTACCAAAGAAATAAGTGCTCAACTTTTTGTTTGAAATTCTACCTATGGGTTATAACGCTGATTAATATGACCTTTGTTATACATCAGATTTAGTCTTAAAAAAGCAACTAATCAGAAACTTTCCTGATATTTAACATTTGAAAAGCAAAGCTCAATGGTCATCTATGGAATCTAAGATTTTAAAATTCAAATCATTTAACAGTCGCGACTCTGATATGTCATTTTACCTTATGTCATTTCACGCCTTTTAACAAAATGGCTCAATCAGGAAGCGATTGCCTATGCCTATGGGCAATTTACATAATAGAGATTTCCTTATCACGAAATTAATAATACCTTCAAAATGCGCTCGGTTTTGTTATGAAAAACTCTATAAATACTTGGAAAATTACAGCAGGAATGGATGCGATATATTCGTTAAAATTTCTAGCTATAAAAAAGGATATCATAGGGTGCTTGGCTTAAAATAAATCTCAACTTCGATCGACAAAACAGATCTCGTCAGCAGCAAGACATCCCAGTATGATTACGACCCTTTTGTAAACATGCTATTGGAGGAGAAAAGATACAAAATCCTTTTTACTTATTATGAAATATGTACGTAACAACAATGGACATATGGACAGAAAAATAAAAATTCCCGAATATTTCCAAAAACAGAAATAAGCAAAATACGTTACAAAATGTAAACGGACTGCAATAATAACCGGCTCACAAAGTAATTTTTTTTTTCAAAAAAATAGGTAAAGAAGAAAGAACAAAATAGGTAAAGAAGAAAGGAAGTATTTTCTTTTGTAGGAATTTGATAATTGAAAACTTCACTTCCTCGTTTCCAATTATTTTTTCCCCTATGCGATATAAATACTGCATCTTAAAGAGTACTCCTTATACCTAGCTTCCCTTGTATTAGTTACTCGCTCCCTCATTTCTTAAGATATTCTAATATCATCAAGTAAATCAAACCTAACTAAAATCTCATTTATTACCCAGCAATCCGCCTAAGATGTTTGGAAGCAAATGCAAAATTTTTTTAAAAAATTAAATTTTCAGACCGCCATCATCATCATCACCATCATCATGCTTTATGCGGTGAATATTACGTGTTCGAAACAAATTGCACAATTCATCTACCAATGTTTCATGACGAAATGATACACGAATGTCAGGAACGTTGGTACGTGAAACGTCATTCCCCAGTACTCCTTCCTCTTTATAGTTTGGTCCTAACCAGTGTACTTTTACCTGAAGTTTATTTCCAGAATGTAATAAAAAATGATACCAAATTATAAACCATCATATATTAGAGAAATCATGAAATCACAGTGTGAAAGCCTAAAAGTATTTAGGATGACAAACTTGCCTTATCTTCAAAACCGCTTTGCAGGACACTATTTCGGGCTAATTCACACATATCACAGCTGCTGAGCTTCCAAACTTGTGCAGCAATGCTATATTCTTCCATCAGTGCCTCCTAAACCAATAATTTCATAGTGCTATTCAGAGCTATTTAGTAGATTTAAACTATAATTTGACCACCTTATTTGGGTTCTCGAAAGTTCTCGGTCATTTCAAAAAGATTCGAAATGTAAAGAAAGTTACAAAATGAGTATGAAATTTGAAATCTGCCTTGGTGAAATGAAACTGCAAGGGATCATCGGTTGACAAAGATACGTTCAACCCTTTCATATGAAATTCCGGTAATGGATTCCGATGATAACTGATGAACAACGAATTGTTACTAAGTGGTGACATTGCAATTCCAATTTGAGAGAGGTAAAATAAGTACTGTAAAACGGGCACCTGGAAATATAGAAAAGTTATGGGTAATAAATCAATTTTAAATTCTAAAACTTAAAGAGAAATGAATTAATAGCCAACTTTGCGAAGCAATAAACCATGTGCAATGCTCTCGGATGTAAGATAACCCGTGACTAGATGGCTCACATATCCAGCTTCACCACAGTGTGGCCGTAACGAGAAGGTATTCAGGCCACGTTCTCTGAAATGTCTCTTTGGTTAGAGATTTTTTTTTTAAAACGATTTTCTTGATTATCCTAGCACCTTTAGTTAAAAAAGATGTGGAAATTTCGATGACAACTAAGAGAGAAAACGTGTGAGCATCGTCGATAGAGGGAGAGAAAGGGAAAAGGGAACAAGACTATCTCAAAATAGCGATAGTTGAAATTCGTAAAATGATAATTTGAGCTTTTAAAAACTACTGTAATAGAAGAAAAAATCGATTTGAAAAATTCTTAAAGAGATCGGAACACATACTATCGCTCCAACTAATTTTAAATAAAAACGAATTAACTGAATAACAAAGAAACAGCTTACCGTCTCAGCGCATTGAGTGCTACCAAATTGGCAAACATGTAAAATAAATAATAATCATATGATGGATTTTCGCCATCGCAGTAACCCTCCGGTTCCGGCGTTGAACGATCAAACTGCAAGAAAACAAATCTACTTCAATTATCTTCATTTCGAAATATGTTAATTCTAATTTTAAATCACAATTGTCGTATTCATTATTCATACCACTTCACTTTACTTTTATACTGAAATTAAAGGTGCAATTAATTGTAAGAAGTTATTTTTCAATATGTAATTATGATTATGGTATGACTAACTGCGGTTGTTGGCTAAACAACACACAAATTACACGGAATTGGTAACAAAGACAGTGCCAAGTGGTAGCTGCACAGCCTTAAAATGAGCTTTAAAATTCAGACTTCAATATTTACCGCATGCAGACATCTTCGTTGTTGGAACACAGCATGATATGAAAGTTATTATTCTAAGACAAAATAAATTAGTATAGAATAAGCCACACTAAAAATCTGTGTATAGCTATCAGCAGAAAAGCATAATTTCTAGCGCATTACTTTTATATGCTCAAGTTTGCTTTCATCATCGACGGAATCGATGCCAGAAATTTGCTGCAGAAATCGGAAAAGATATGGATGAGATTCCGGGTCATTTGTCACTTCAAAGAGTGGTGTAAAAATATTATCCAGCATTTCATCGAAATTTTTCACCATTTTCTTCGAACGATAAACATCGCTAAATAATGAATGAGCATTTAAAATTCAATCGAAAATTTGTAAAATCATTAGAACATAAGAGATTACGAAGACCAAGATCTTTTGTGCATTCCTAGCTATATGCCCTTGTAATTCATCATGAAGAAAGTAACTATATGTATTGGATTGTGCATCGTAGTTAATGAAACATCCTTTTGCACTTGGCTTTTTCTGAAAACTACAGGTGACGAGAAGCAGTAAAAACGAACTATAAACGAGGTATCTGAATCAACCATCGTGCATTTACTGAATAAACATCATTTTCGATAGCCCATTTGGCCAACTTATCCCACTCCTCTTTACTATGCCCATAGATCGACAAACGCGGTTCGGCATGTTGGTATTTACTATCTTCCAAATCAGACAAAACCTCCTGAAACGATGTTCAACTCACGCCTTCATGGATAAAAAAATTCGAGATTGAAAATCTATTCAGAAATCACTTGAAAATTCAAGCAGGCTACAAACTACTCAAAACAAATTTCAGGGTCAGAAAAAGTACAGGGAAAAAGTTGCAAGAATTATTTAATTTCAATTATTAACATCTAAGATGATAAATAAAGAACCCATGAGTTCCACTTTAAATAAGCAACTACTTAAATAGTGCTTCGTGAAGAAAAGAGTTACTTTCAAAACATCAGCAAAATATTTTCCTCCAACGTAGTTATCAGTTTTGATGAATATTTCACGTAATGTGCTTTCACCAACAGGGTTATATTTGGTGTTAAATTTATCAAAACGATGGAAAGTATTTCGATCAGCATGAACATCTAACATATCAACTGATAGGTCGTAAGTGCTGATACCAAGACCTGGAAAAAAATTAAACAAATGTCTGAAATTCATCAATATATAAAATATTGAAGTAAAATATTTAGTATTTTTAATTACTATCACACTTATTTCAACATGCATAATGATGAGGCTAGCAAACGAGAACGTAAATTACTTTTGAAAGACAAAAATAGCTTAGAAAACGATATATATTGATGAAGAAAAAAATTTATCAAATAGTGAAGAATTAAAGGACTAAATAAACGACCAAATTTATAATAAGCAAAAACGTAAGCACTAAAGTCGAATTTGAATGTGACCGAAAAAATTCCAAAAATTCACCTTCAAAAACTTGCTCCAATGTGATTTTCATACCATTCTGAAAAAAAAAATGATGTCCATAATGGAAATGAAACAATGGAATTTTTCAACCTAAATTTCTAGCCTAAGTTCAAATAGTGGTCTCTACGCTAATTCAAATTTCAAACTCCCTCGCCCAAGATACTACTTCAGACGAATTAAATACATATCATTAATAGTTCAGTACTAGAAAAGTGCATATTAGTAATAGTTCATGAGAACTAGGTGAAAAAAAATGAACCTTTTCCAAAACCACAGTGTCCTTTTCTGTTTTCATCTTTTTTTTGATAAAACGCAGCAGATGTTTTTGGTTCATCGAACTGGCAGCATGTATATGAGTATCAACCTTGAATTTTCGTTATTAAGTTTATTAATACTGATTATTAAAAATAAATATCACAAGCTCACATTAACATGTTTGTGGTAATACAGCCTAAAGACTTGCCTTCCTGATATTATAAAAATCGCGATGTGGCACAGACTTCTGTTCGTGTTGTTCCCGAATCTCATTCATTAATGTGTGCAATTGGAATTTGTTTTGTAAGAAGCATAGTCGTCGATAGCAGAAACTTTTACTAAAAACGATTACTTTATGTAGGAAAATCACGGTTGTCTATTACTTATTATTTACAGATCAGGAGAGGCATAATTGAATGCCATTTTATTACAGGATTAGAATACGAAGCAACGTCCGTTATAAAATCATTTTTTTCAATTTACGCACATCTCATTCTTTCAGTTCTGATTCTACTTCAAAAATGGGATTATATTTACTAAAGCAATTAAATGGATTAATCTATAAAAGAAAAGTTGACCGATATTACACTCTTTGATTTGTTAAGCGTCACATGACAACGGAATTTGTAATACGATTATAAGTTGGTCTGAAGGCTAAGAAAAAGAAAAAATTTTTTCCTGATGAAAGAAAGATGAAATTAAAAATATGACAACAGAATATGCGAAATAATCAATCTTAAACGAGACAGAATTGGTTTTTACTTACAGTGGTCCATTTGCAATCATTACTGAAAGTCTTTCCAAATCTCGCAAAAATTTCTCCTTTGAAACGTAGGTGTGTCGAAATTGATCTGGTATTTTTCCACCTTCATCTAGAATTTCCACCTGTAATTTTTCTTTTTCGTTCAGCTTTTCATAAATGCTGTAATCAATTAAAAGGGTAAAAGTAAAAGGAATTACAGAGATTTTCTGGAATGGGTCCATTATGTAAAAGGAATACTTCCTGCTCGTAAAGCGTGTTACAGGGAAGTTATTTCTTATTACCTAAACATCACCAATAAACGTTGAGAAGTTTAACGGTGATATGGAAAAAACTGTTTCCATCATTCAATCAAGTTCAATCTTAGGAAGAATAATGAACACATACAGAAGTTGTGAAAAATGAATTTAAAATTCGTCGAAATATTAGGGACTGTAAAGACTATTTAAGCAATAAAAAAGCATTTAATCTGTTATTAATAGCACTCTAGTAATTTAAACATCAACACTGACACATGCTTAAACGTAAATTCCACAGAAAATTTTTCTTGATCAAACAAGAAAGTGTAAAGAACATTTTACTAAAGTACCATTAAAAAAGCGAAAAATGAGAGGGAAGACGGTAAAAGTGAGGCCCAAATTCACAGATATGACGCTTATACTCATCAGATCTTGTTTTCAAATGTCCAAATCGTACGGGGATTCAATGCAGTACTCTTCTGCTAATACAGAATTATCATGTCGGATATGGTCAAGCATTGGTCTTCCAAATCACTTCATAGAATGAGTTCTGCTATCCCATTCCAAAAAACCGAAATTATTATTGCTGAAGCAAAAAACAACTCACCATGCCACGATTTCGTTTCAATGTATAGATTTTCTCATATTTTGGCAATGGTGTATTCAAACCCCAATGGTCTTCTGGTGGCAGAGGTGGATTATATGACGTTTGTGCAGCTGAAAATCAAGATTCTCAAAAGTAAATCAAAACTTATCTTCAAATTACATTAGTTGAAATAATCAAAATTAAAAGCATGCAAGCAGGAGATAGGGTTTCATCTAAATTTAGACGTCCAAATGAACAGTAATACTTTAAATAATATTCCAAAAGACAATCCCTTAAAACACAGTAAGTTGAACATGATTAATCAAGGATTCGAGTATTATAAATGGTTATTAAAAATCTATGATTAGAAAAATTTCTACCATACAGTTCAGTTAAATTTGCATATGAAAAGGATACTGATTCATTCGGACATCTGAACAACTCAGAAAAACTATGCTTTAAAGAAGATACACCTAACAGAAATGCACTTCAGTGAAGAAAAAACGAAATTACACAGATAGTTAATATGAATATTGCAACAGTATTTGATAGAATTGGCACATTTCTACGAGGGTAGCTTAAACAGCATCACTATAGATATTAAAATTTCATCGTCAATGGACCACAAACAGCTGATATACCAGCCTTTTTGATGTTAAGCATAGGGAGTCATGTAAGGCAAGCAGTATATCTTCGGAAAATGCACTGCATTAAATGATCAGACAATTTTGGGTGAAATATAATTTAGAAAATGTTTTAAACACCAAAAGTTGAATAAGATAAGGGACTTAAAGCATTTAACATGGTGAATCAAAAAAAAGGAAAAAGAAAAAAAGTGGAAAAATGGTCATCAAAAGAATCGCTGAAATACAACAGTAATGATGAGAATGAAACATAAAGTTAGTTTGAAAACACTCTTCTATCAGAAAATCATATGCTATTGTACCATATAAACAAATGTACTTCCCCAAGCATTTCCTGCACTCTTTCCATTGCGCCTCTGTTAGGAAGTTCCATTCCTTAACCTTGTATCGCGTTCGTTTAAAATGCAAGAAAAATCAACAGATAACATCTGACGTTTTGTTTTCAACAAAATAATGATGAAATTATATTTTTAGATCTAAATGTTGTGTAGAGTTGAAGAATTTGATTCGAAACTTCCAACAAAAACCTTCTGAAGTGTCATTTAATTCGTCCCAAAAAGTTGCAATTTACATGTTAGCCAGAAAAAAAAAACAAAAAAAGGAAAACAAAAAAAAACAAAAAACCCATTCATGCTGTTACTTCCTATTAACGACTAGTAATTAGCTAAGGTCGACTTTTCTACTGGCTAATCTAAATCATGTCCATTACCTTCCGGATGTGTCTCCTTATTCAATGCCGTTGACATTGCACCCTTTGAGACGTCATCTGAAGACTCTTAAAACTTGCAAAATTTTGAAACATAAACATGAACAGATTGATTTCTTAACGCGATAAGATGAAAAATTGTTCTTTTATATTGAGTAAGCTTACTAAAGGTTTTGGGAACTCTTTTAAAACCTAACGGTATTAATTACACCAACAGCAAGAAGACAACAATTACAGTAAATGATAAAAGGATAACAACAATACCATATAATCACTGATTGAGATATTCAATCATGCTACCAGTCAAAGAATTTTATACAGCAGAAAAAAGGAAAACTAGAGGCAGTATCGGAAGAAAGAGGGAGAGAAGAAAGGCAAAGAGAATTGAAAGTTAGATTGAAAAAAAAAAACCTACATAAAATTCCAGCTGAATTTTGTAGTTGAATATGATAGTATAAATTGTGATATATTCAAAGAAAAGGAATTACTTTTTTAAAAGGAACTGGAGAAAGTGACTAAGTTCTCGCTTATTGACTTCATCATTTTCCTCTACCCTTGAATGTCATTACGATACATTGAAGTAGGAAATAAGGTTTAGAACTTGAAACTATATAATTTTTCATTAAACGACCATCCGAAAGAGGCTGACTTGCAAAACTTATTTCTTGCGACCACCAGAATAAAGTTAAATAAACTGAAACTAGAAAGTATTTTACAAAATTAAACAGCTCGCTCTTAACATGGTAGAATACACATGCATCTTAAGTCTGAAAAAATATACAGAACATATTACTGCAAAACAGACTTATTTCGATGTTTTTGCGCCGATATTTTGGCAAATTTTTTGGGTAGTGACCGGAGAGAAAGTTTTTGGTTGTTGACGGAAACTGATTTCCAATAGATTCCATGTATTCTTTGCGCAGCATAAGTGCTTCAGTCAATTCTCGAGCTGACTCCTCCAAATCTTCCAATGGTACCTGAAAAAGGAATCAAATAAGATTGGAATCTTCTGAATGTAATTTTGAAACTAAATGAATGAAAGCATCTCTAAAACGATAATCCTTCACAATAAATTTAGGCCACAAGTTTGAAACTTCAATATTCAATTTCAAAAATATTTCAAATAAGAATCCAGTGAACAACGATCCAATGCTACAGAAGTCTATCGCTGCTATTCATGAGTAATATTCCAGACTCAAATGTTGTAAACGCAAAGAATTATGGCTCATTTCATAGTATGTTTGATATTTAGAGAGGAAGTGCTCAAGTATTCAAGGGAAGAATTATCAACAACACACAACCAATTATGTAAATTGCATACAGTTGAAAGAGAATGAGTAAATTTAAATGAAATGAAATGAAAAAAAATACTGCGAGTACATGTTTATGTCTTACATTATTAAATTTTTACTTTTCCGTTTTCTTCGAATTGTCATTAAATTTTTACTTTCCATTTTCTTCGTATTGTCAAGAGGACGAAACATGGCAAGTAAGAACTTGATTAGTAAAACTAAAAAACACTGAGGCAAGGAATCTTAACAGACCCCAGAAAGCTCTTCTCCGGTTACTGCCATTCGTTGATAATTGACATCGACAGCATCTCGAAATGTATACATCTCAACATGTTGCGGTGATCGAGCACGAAATTCCACATCCTTATCCATCCCGCTCAGCAAACTAAGTGAATTCATCGGTAGAAGTGAAGGCTCACCATCATACTGCGCCGATTCCATTCGAGCCCTAGAGATAAGGAATGGATTAGTGCCATTATTTCGATTTTAGTTAAAATGGTACATTTAAAATTCTCGAATCCACTTGAAATTTTATTTCATCGAATTCAACCGCAGATAAGAAATGCACCACGCTCTTATCTGAATAAAATATGAATTGGAAGCTTCAGCTTAGCATTTTCACCTGCTTATTTCTCACTCACCTTATGTTTCAAATAATGCTAAGCTGCTATAGAAGGCCATAAATATTTGAATTATGGCTCTTTGACTTCTTGGAGAAAAAAATTAGGAAATACTAGCATTAGTCATTGGCTACTAAATCTATAACAGAATATTGATATTATTGACTGAAATATAGCTCATTAAGTAGAAAGCGCAGGTGAGAAATAATGCAATTTACATTCTGAATTTAGGATTAGAATGATGAAACTTTAAAGGCCCAGAATCTCAACAAAAAATGGTTTTGCACGAAATGATAAACCACCATAGAATGATTTCTCAAATCTTTTTCTCCTCAATTCATATTATATCACCATAATAATATAGTAGAAATATTTTTATAATACAGAAATATGCCGATATAATTAAAGCATTTTTGGGGTTGTAGAAATATTTCGAATAACTAAAATTCATAATACAGAGATTTCATAATAACATAGAGTCCAAAGCATGCTATTTGGTAAAACTGACTCATTTTGCAGTAATATCTAGCTTTGGAATAACGAAGTAAAAAACAGTAAAGAGCGAATACATGATTGCAGGATGACAGACAATGATAGAGCAAACATAATTCATATAAATACAGCTTTCCCAAATACTATAAAATTCTCCATACACATATTTACGATATTATCTTAGCATTTCAATACAGACATATTTTAGTTTAGAATGAATGAATTAAGCAACCAACATCCCTTTTTTACAAAGTTCCCAGTATTTTTCGTAGAATGTATGCAAAATTTCAAATGAATTCTAACTGAATTCACTAACTCTGCTGATTCTATCATTTAGAATATAATGTTGGAAGGATCGAAATATTTTTATAATACAGAAATATGCCGATATAATCAAAGTATTTCTGGGTTGCAGAAATATCTCGAATAACTGAATTAAATTTATAACAGAAAGATTTTTAATAAAAAGGTTCTAACTTTGCATATTTATTAGGTAAGCGATTCACTACACACAAGAAATTAAATGTTTCAATGATCTAATGTAATCAACCATTCATCCAGTCCCCTTATATTGCTGCAAAGAATATCTAGCCTGATGACCAAGCATATGTATAATCACCAATGTCGGGATATTGCAAAAGAACCTCTGGTATAATCTTATGTGTGAATGTCGGCATATTGTAAAAAACCTCTGGTCCAATCATATCTGCAGTTATCGATTTCTTGTAAATAAACTCCTAACGAGGGAATTCCATCTAAGAATTCAGTTATAAACTCAAGTCATTTACTCCATTAACTGTATGTGTCGGCTTGGTTGTATACTGCGAATATTTCTTTCGTTAATCAATAAACTCTCATCATGAATATTCGTCTTTTTGTGCCAATAATCAACAAGAAAAGAACTTCGTCGAAAAAAAATTCCACAACATATAATAGACATGCCCTAAATGTTTCAAATAGGTCAAAATAATAAAACCATGCGGTGCGGCAAAAACTAGGTTAAAAATCAATATTATTAGCAAAGGTGATTTAAACGATAAACGATTGTTTTAAGAAGACATCATCTTGTAAGATTATGTCTGACATGCATTAGTCACAATCACTTAAGATACACTGTAGATACATTGTGTGAACGATCGAAGAGTATTGGATTTTGGCTCATACAACTTTTGATTCTCCGAAATGCTACACAATAAGATTAAATTTAGTGCATTCATTCTTTGCATTAGTGTTAATTGTATTAACTAAGCACAAATAACGAGTAAATTATGACTCACTTCAGAGAATGTCGACGAATTTTTCCAGAATGTCGACGCCTGTAAATTTAGTTAACAGAGAGGTTAGCTTTGTTACTGAGACAAATGCATGACCAATGATTACCTGCATGACTTCCATGGCACTTAAACAATCTGCACAATGTGCAATAAATGGAACAGAAGTAGGAAAAAAAAAGCACCAAAGGTTAATGAAGTTAACAAACAAGTGTAGCAAGACTCATTTGTTAATTTTTTCTTTCTATCAACCTGAAGAAATGCAGTGCCCTTAAACATCTGAAGATGAGTTCTTAAACCAAATAGATTCGGAATTGGTATGCATTTTGCGATGCCATATAATGTCAAAAGAAAGAAGCAAAACTATGTTAATTGAAAATCAATTTCAAGATCGGTCAAATTAGTCAGTCATTAGTCTAGAATTCGTCACCAAAGTCACCTCCAGAATAACTGGAAACATCCTACTTATTAACATATTTGTTTAGGGTTCCTAATCAAGATAAAGGTAAACAAGAACCAAGCGGTTAAACAAAACAAAGTTCCCAGGTCACTTCGATGAAGTGCTTCCAATCTGAAGCAGTGAAATTAGCAAAAAGAAAGCGGTATATATTCCTGGAGAAAAAGAAATGACATTTATCAATGGAAATAAGATTGGAAAAGTTCATAATTAGTAAGTGATAACTTTTAAATGAAATATATAAAACTAGAAACACCTGTTTGTGAGTTGTCGATGAATTGCATCTTTACTTTCTTTCACTTCAATCGGATACTGTGAGATTTCAAAAGGAGGCGAAACCGTGTGATGATTGGAATCTTCTATAAATCCTACTTGAAACGGGCCGCAATCAAGAACATCTGAATCGACTGTTTCTGAAAAATGAGACAAAACCTGCAACACAAGTTCAAATTTTTTCTAATTTATATTAAAGACATTGGTTAACACATTTCCATGTATATATGGGCAGTTGCCCATTAACTCAGTACTTTGAATTAACCATTCACTTGTCAACCAGTCTATCTCTACGTATAATACGTGACAGAATTTTACCGTGTAAGTCAAAAAAGAAAAGTTAATTAGTGTACGTACGATTTTCTGGAGCCCTAGAAAAATGCCCATATCTCGTTCTCGCTGAAATGAATTGTAAATTAACTAAAATATCCCATTTTAACTCAAGCTATATCATTTCTTACATCAAAAATAAATTAATGAATGAATGATTTAATAGTAATAGCTAAAGTGTGAAAAGAAAGAAATCTAACTTTCTAATTATTAAAATATATTAATGAGAATGAAAATGAAAAGAGACTTACTTAAAGTATTAGCCATGAATGGTGCCATGTGATCATTCATTGCTGAAGCTTTGGAAAGAACAATTGAAGGAGATAATTCTAATTGCTGTGAACTAAAAACCTCTCGTGAGAACTGATCACAACCTGCGGCATTATCATCATCAATAACAGCATTACTTGCAACATGAAATATGTTAGTATCAGCTGAAGAAGGCGAGAAGAAATTGATTGATGGTGGAGTGCCAAACAAACCACTTAGAGGGCATTTGCGATGTGCTGATGACATTATCACACTACCACTGTTTATCGATCTTCGCTGTAACAATGATTACAAGGCGCAATTATATCCCAACAATATCAGTTAATCTAAGCGATAATTCCGCTCATTTCGTTGTTGGATGGCTTAAGAATGAACAATTTCTCCCCTCCCCCGCCCCCCCCTCGTTCCTTCCAGGTTACAATTCAATCCAATTTTACTCAGAACATCGTCCTTACGTGGACTTCATTAATTGTTCTGTTGTAACAACCCTGTCAAAGACACTAGCAGGGAGTGAAGGAATACACGCTTAAATGGGATAGGAAAGGAGAGGGAGAGAAACAGAGAGACCGGAGAGAGAAAGGAAGAAAGGAAGAAGAAGAGAAAACTGCAGAAATTAGTCAACTTGGAACAAAAAAAAGAAAAAAAAATTAAATTTTTGGAAGGAAAAATAAATTTATTGCAATGGACAGGAAACGCATATTGTCTATCCCTCCTCTCGGCTAACTTTTCTTTCTTGGATCAACTGAAATATCTGTCTATTCAGTGGTAAAATGTATCAGTGAAGAAATTAAACTCGTATATACGACTTTTAATTATCGTATATACGAACGACAGTATTGCACAAGATAAGCTACCAGATCCATGATCAGATCCAGATCAGATCCATGCTTATCGTAACATAGTTTCTCCTGT